TTTTTTCATATCCTCCAGGGTCTCACTAAATTTATCGGCGGTTTCCATAAAATTCTTGAAAAACCTTAAAAGTGTGGTTTTGAACTCTATATCCAGTCGTTTGCTTGCCTCCATTTCTGTCATTTGTGACCTGCTTCTTTGTCTCGGCATTTTTTATGCTCCCCTTTGTTGGTAGAGTGGCTTTGTGTGCTAGGTGTCCTATAGGGCCCAGTGGCTCAGCCTCTGCAATTACCTGAGGTGGACACTCTTGGTGCACCCCCTTGTGGGCTTTGTGCACAGTCTTGTTGTAGTTAAGCCTTGATTGTTGTTGGTATCAATGGGAGGAATTGACCTCCAGGCCCATTGGCTGTGAGAATCAGCTGTGTCTGCAGTGGGAGAACTTCTGTGCTGAAGACACCCTTCTGGGGCAAGACTTGCTTCAGTGGGGCTTTGGTGCTCACTGAGTCTTCCCCCTGAGTGTGTCCCTTATGGATCTGAGGAGTTGTAATCTGGATGGTCCCACTCTGACCACTGGGTACACTGGCTCTTGGTTCTAAGGAGGTGCTAATTTAGCCTCTGCCTAAGGCTACCCAGCAGGAGCTACGAAGAGATCTGCAGATTCCCCTTCCTTTTTTGGGGGGTTTGGAGGTGCCCAGATGAGGCCCAGCTGTGAAGCAATGCAAGCTGCTGTGGGGCCTTGGGTCTTCTCTTGGAAGTTCTGGGTCTGTCTGGCCCAGCTGCAGTTTGTTAGGTACTTTTCAGATTGCAAAGGGCCAGGGCATTCATATGCAAAAGCCTCTGCCGCAGCCTGGGTGGGGCGGGGCCTCAGGGAATCAAAGGGCAGAGCAAGCAGCTTTGGCTGATCCTCAGCCTTGCCCTAAGGTGCCCTGCGCATCTCAGTGTCCCGGTAATTGCTGCCAGCACCTCTGAGGGAAAGCCGCCCTCAAGTTCCGAGTTCTGCCTGCTGCCAGACAGTCCAGTTTCTCCCCGTATGAGTCCTGGATCCCCAGAGACCTCCCGGAACTGGAGTTCAGAGCAGTCGGGAGCTTGTGACTCTCCCCGACTCAAAAAGCCGCGTCCTCATGTGCCCGCCCCTTTCTGCGCGCGCTCGAGCCTCCGTACCTCTGCACTTTACTTTCGCAGCTCCTCTGAGTCTCAGTGTGCTTTTCTCTTTCCTTTTAGTTGTAGAATTTCCACTCAGCCAGCCTTCCCGTTTTGTCTTTTCGTTGTATTTTTGAAGTTGTTGTGGGAGGCAGCAATTTCCGGTGTTTACCTATGCCGCCATCTTGGTTTTTCCTTCATGAACTATTAATCTTAACATGACTTCTGAACTAGAAGAGAACTCAGTTTAGGTGAACAGCTAATTGTCCTGTTTTCTGTTGTCTTCAAAGGCTGATTTAGTTTTTTATGTCCCAAAAATCTTGGTCTATTATTGGGTGGGATGCCAGGTTATGTCCAAAGTGCAGAAAAGGCCAACATAGCCATAAGTCATATCAATTGAAGAATTTGGAGAAAAATATATTAGTTCTGAATCCCTACCACACTGGACCTGACCTGTCTTATTGGGCCTTAAACTTTCTAGAGTGTAAACTTAACTGGACTAGTGAAGATCCTTAAATGCATCTGAACTATACTGGCCTCTGGAGGTGGGAGGTGGGAGGTGGGATCCCTAGGTGTTGGGTTAAGATCACCTCACTGAGTCTTTTCCACTGTGACCCAGGTGCCCTACAACCCACCAGCCATGGGGATTGGTGCCACTTTCCAATCCCTTTTAGAAGTATCTCTCCACACAAAATGAACATCATGGAAACAAAGCTTCAGGAGGGGAGAGGAGTCTCAGTTCAAGGCAATAAGAGGGTTGTAGGCATCCAAACCAGATCTGTCCAGGAATGCTGAAGAGCTGGTCGTCTTGATCTTAGTTTCTGAGTCCTTAAACTCTGTGTTATGGATGATACTCTCCTAATCCTGGATTTCTAAGGCACTCTTTGCAGCAATGAATTATATTGGGGAGAATTATACTTTGGTGCCCATAGTGAAATTCACAAGTTTGATCATTTTGGGGGAGGAACCAAGAGAACCTTGGAAGTGAAATAATAAACAAGAGAAGATAGAAAGATGTGACATGTCACATAATAAAAGTAGGATTTCGGGTTGTGTTGAGGGGGTGGGAGGTTTTGGTAGAGAATTGCATTAGGATAGATACATAGTGGTGGTAGTCTGCCCGAGCTGTTTTTCCTAAATATAATGCTGTTTTGGATTTTCTTCCTTCTTACCTTTGCTGAAGTAGAATCCCTTCTTTTCATCAATAACAGTCCCTACATGTGGCCCAGGTATGTGTTCCTGAGTTTGCCAATAATACTCTTTTCTTTAAAACAGGGAAACTTTGTGGCTGGAAAATACAAGTGTCTTCTATGTCAGAAAGAATTTGTGTCAGAGAGTGGTGTCAAGTATCACATCAACTCTGTCCATGCTGAGGTGAGGGTCCTGCTTTCTCACAGTGTTTTTATTTTCTAATCATATTTCCTTTTCCCATACATACACCATAGGAGAGATGGATTTTGTGTCTGTTTTTGTGGGCTAGGGGAGTCAGGGAAAGTAAAGTGGTTACCAGAGACATTGGAGTTCAATCCAGTTAAATCAGGCATTTGGGAACCAGGCTGAATTTACACCTTCTTATTTAACAGCAGTCTCTCTACTTCCATTTTCTAATATTCTTTAAAAAAAAATTTTTTTTTTATTGATTTCAGAGAGGAAGGGAGAGGGAGAGAAAGATAGAAACACCAGTGATGGGAAAGGACCATTGATCAGCTGCCTCCTGCATGCCCCACACTGGGGATTGAGCCTGCAACCTGGACATGTGCCCTGACCCAGAATCGAGCCATGACCTCCTGGTTCATAGGTTGCCACTCAACCACTGAGCCACATCGGCTGGGCTTCTAATACTCTAACGTCTTTGAGTGACCTGTTTTTAATGCTACTTAAAGTACCTCATAGAGCCCAGCTGGCTGATTGATGATTCTCTCTCATCGTTGATATTTCTATGTCTTTCTTCCTTCCTCTCTGAAATCAATAAAAACATATTAAGAGAAAATAATAAAATAAATACTGCATAGAAACAAATATAAAAGACATTGAGACAATTGAGGAATTTTGAATATTAACTATATTAAATAATAGCAATGTGTCCATGTTAATATTTCAAAATGTGATCATTGTAGTTGTGCAGAAGAACACCCTTGTTCTTAGGCAGATACATGCTGAAGTATTTAGGGATGAAGTAACATGTTGTCTGCAACTAACTTGCAAAATGGTTCAGCAAAAAGAAGGAAGGAAGGAAAAGAGAGAGAGGTGAACAATGATAAATCTAGGTGTTCATTAAATTAATAACTTTTCTGAAGATTTGTAAACTTTCAAACTAAAAAACTCTGTGTTTTGCCCTAACCATGCCTTTTTAAATTCTTCCCATACCTCTTTATGCTTTCCACTATGTTTTGACTGGATAGTGTTTCTATTTTGCCTTGTAGGATTGGTTTGTTGTAAACCCAGCAACAACCAAAAGCTTTGAAAAGCTGATGAAGATAAAGCAGCGGCAGCAAGAAGAAGAAAAGCGGAGACAGCAGCACAGGAGCAGGAGGTCTCTGAGAAGGCGGCAGCAGGCTGGCATGGAGCTTCCTGAGCCAGCAGAGCTGAGTCTTAGAGCAGGGAAAGATCAGAGGAGGAATAACGAGGAACTGCTAGTGTCGACCTCCTGTAAAGAACCAGAGCAGGAACCAGTGCCAGCACAGTTCCAGAAAGTAAAGTCCCCAAAGGCTAATCATAAACGAGGAAGGAAATAGGCAGTCAGTGTGAGAGCGCTCCTCGGAGAGTGGACGGATGCTCTTGTCACGGGGACCTGTGCTGGAGGACTGAGTTATGGGGCTGAGTGAAGAGAAATGTCCTCTTTCAGTTGTTTGTGAAAAGCTACAACTTTCTCTACTCTTTTCTCCTGTATAAATTTCACTGTTTTCCCTACTTACTCACTTTGACAACCTCCCTTCCCCAACCCTTTTTTGGTAGGTTTTCCTGCTATTCCTCATTGGAGTCTATTATTTTTCTCTTATCTTGCCCAAAGAGCTCCCTCTTAAGGCCAACCATAGGCCCCTCTTGTCCTGTACAAGACTAAGAAAACTGGTTGTTCTTTTCTTCCTGGGGTGTAGAATGTTCTTGGAAGTTCTATTGATTTAGTAGTCTCCATCGTCAAGTTTATAAAACAATTCCACATTAAATTTTTAAAACCATACTGATTAATCATTTTGTATTTGTGCTATAACATGCCTAGAAGCTAGAATAAGATTACCCTCTTTGGGAAACAAACTTTATGGAGGTTGTTCTCTCAATATGGTTTTAGTATTGAAAGAAAGAATGGGTTTAGGATGAAAAAGCTAGAACTTCCCTACACTAATTCTACTGGGAAGTGTTTTGTCTGCCCCAAGTAGCAGTGACTAACTAGACCAGCCGGCCCGTTTGAAATGAATAAAACTAAAAAAAAAAAAAAAAAGACCGTACCTTTTTATGTAATGATGTTTACTTTGAATTTATATTAGTTCACACAAACACTCCATCCATGCTTTTGTTTCGGCCCTCCGGTCCAGTTTAAGAACCCATTATGGCCCTCGAGTCAAAAAGTTTGCCCACCCCTGAACTAGACCCACAGGCATAAAAAAGCAGCCTTAGGACTAGTATGTACCAAACATTAAAGTGGCTGGAAAGAAGAAACTAGAAGAAGCAATAACTACTGCCTCAACTTTCCTGGCGCTTGAGGCCTCCTCATCTGTCGTCATAATCGGTGCCCTCCTGAAGTTTGTTTTGCCCTCTCGGTTCTAAGGATTGAGAAATAACCAGGTTGATTGCCCCTGATTTTTTGATAAGAATCCTAGTGTTCCTGGTAATGCCACTAAGATCGGTAACCAAGACACTCGTTCCTTCTCTCCTGGACTTGACCTCACTTGCTAGTCTACACCCCACTAAGTCCTCATCCCTCCCTTTAGTCAACCTCTGTCTGAATTTTCTGAGAATATTGCTGTCTATCCTCTTTTATGTGTGTTCTATCGTCTTTAATCCTGAGACTTTGACACCAGATACTGATATTTATCTGGAGTTGGAAAGAAAAATTCTTTTTCTGTACCTCATGCCTAGCTGATGTCTAATGGGCTGTTAGATGTTTTGAAGTAAGTGAAGGACATGGTATATCCACTGTACATTGTCATTTGCAGTTGTGCTCTTAGAGCCCTTTCAGTAGATGAGGATTGTCAGGGAGAAGAAATGAAGAAGCTATATTAATTTCTGATAAGACTTGGGAAATGTTTGGCAATGACAAAAGAAATAAATGACTGTTAGATTGATGTTTCCAGTTGTTCATTGACTCAGGTTACATCGGAGATCCGTTCCTACTGCGCGACATAACACGATTTTCGCTGTAAGTCGGAACTCACCTACATAAGTACCTACGTCACTCACATGGAGCACATACACAGCAGTAATGAAGTGAAACAGTAAAAAAAAATTTAAAAGAAAGATAACAATTCCTGACCTTTACTTGTGGTAAATAAATAAAAAACAAAGCACATACGTACATATGTCGAAAACACGGAACATTTTTTTTTTTTTTTAATAAATAAACTAGAGGCCCGTTGCAGGAACATTCCTGCAAGAATAGGGCTTTGCTCCTGTCTCTGCCGTTCCTACCCCGCCCTTCTCTGCCGCTCCTGCTGGCTAAAATGAATAATTTGAGATTAAAGTGAATTAAGTATAGGAAACTTGCCCAATCTCATGCCAGGCCCTTACAGGCACTCTTTGTTCTTCTTACTTGATTTTAGAGAAAGGGAGAGAGATGTGAGAGCAGTACACCAGATTCACTATCTGGGATGATAGGAATGAAAACTAAACTGAGATGAGATAGAAGTTCTCCATTCCTGAGTTAGATAATTGGGCCAGCAATGGCAGGAGGGGAATTAAGAGCAGAAGAGTAAAGAGTGTAATATCTCATCAGCCTGGGTATATATTTTCCTAGGGTTTTTGCATCCAGAGAGACTAAGGTTTCAAATTTATCTTGGATATCATGCTTTTCAAGTGCCATCTTTCTGTACTTTCAACTCATGAATTGAAGTATTCAGTTTAAGGTACCTGCATGTTATCTAAAGTCTTCTGCATTAAAGTTGCAATTTTATTATTTGCATACATACTAGTAAGTATAAGACAGCAAAAGTAATGAGAGAAAAGTGATGAAGTAAAAAATATATTGGAACAATAAAATCAATGGGTAAATTATAATCCAAGTAGGCTTTTATTTTTTAACAACAAAACTTGTTTAATAAAGAAACTACATATTTAACAGAAACATTATTAAAGCTAGAAGTTAAAGGTACATTGAGGGAGAGACCTTTGTTTAACCAATTTAAAGGAATCCATTTTACATATAAGACTAAATTCAAGAAAATTATTTTTAAGTTTTTTTATTACTGATAATTTCTGGAGAACAAAGTTGATTATATTTTCTCATAGGGGAGCAATGTTAAAATATGAGGTTTTATTAGGATTCAGCATTCAAAAAAATCACTGATCTAACCATCATATCATAAGTGCAAAAAAACCCACAACAAAAAAACACCTACCCTAAATGTCTACAGTAATTTAAAATACTATTCCCAGTTCTATTAAATAGGCCTAAATATATGGCACATAATAATTAGTAAGAAAATATATATAGTACTATATTTAACACTAAGTAATTTTACTTATCATCTTAGGATTTAGGATGTTGCTAGAGAAATAGATGGCATGAGACTTTAAAAGTTATTCAAAAATTTAAAACTTTGTTTTGATAACATTTTCCTAAAACAAGCAGAGGCATTCTGCCACCTCATTAATTCTTGAGGTATTTCTTCACAATAAACATTTTCAAAAGTAAAAGCTGAGATATGTTCCCTTAGAGTACTTTTTCCCTCATGAAAACTATAGGAGCTACCTGGCCATTGGCACAAACTTTAAAAAAAACCCTTAAAAACACTGCCTTTATGTTCTGAATTGGCCAGAAGGAATGAGGATAAACTTAGATTGGTTGTTTACAGAGGAGAAAGCTCTGAAAAGTCAATCTGAGATGCTATCCTGAAAGGTGATTTTTCTTTTTTCAAATATATTTTATTTTTTACAGAGAGGAAGGGAGAGGAATAGAGTCAGAAACATTGATGAGAGAGAAACATTGATCAGCTGCCTCCTGCACACCCCCTACTGGGGATGTGCCTGCAACCAAGATACATGCCCTTGACTGGAATCGAACCTGGGACCCTTCAGTCTGCAGGCCGACGCTCTATCCACTGAGCCAAACCGGTTAGGGCTGAAGGTGATTTTTCTATAAAGAAATCTGACTCAGCTAGATGAAATAAATCATGAAACTATTTCCTTTCACTTCCTCAAGGTGGTTTTCTCAACCTGGTTTTATGTATGAGTGTCTGGTAAATGGTTTTAGGTTATCTGGAGGTTTGAGGAACATCCTTATTAACAAGAGCTAATTAAAAATCTAAGGAAAGCTGGTTCACACAAGTATCTAGTAGTATGGCTGGAAAAGCACATCTAATCCTCCACACTAACATGTCTTGATGGATATTCTATCATAGCAATGAGACCCAAAAGCCTTCCTCACCAGGTTTGTGCAGCACCTAAGGAATACTTCTCTAGTCCTTAGCCCAGCCGTGGGCAAACTACGGCCCGCGGGCCGGATCCGGCCCGTTTGAAATGAATAAAACTAAAAAAAAAAAAAAAAAAGACCGTACCCTTTTATGTAATGATGTTTACTTTGAATTTATATTAGTTCACACAAACACTCCATCCATGCTTTTGTTCCGGCCCTCCTGTCCAGTTTAAGAACCCATTGTGGCCCTCGAGTCAAAAAGTTTGCCCACCCCTGCCTTAGCCAGTGATATTTAGGAATTACTGTGGATTAACCTTGATTTGGGGTCCCAGGGAAAGGGTTCTTGCGATTTTTGGAGCACCCTGTTGCAGTAGTTGCCTCCCTTAAATTAAGCTCTCCATACACCACTGTTCCTGCTGCAGCTGTTGCTTCTGACTTTTCAGCAGGCTTGGCACACCTGCAACCCCTGGCATTGCTGAGATTGCTGCACTTACTCCTTCTGTGACTGCTGGTTCTCTGCGGGTGCCACAGTAGAACTCAGAAGTATGCCTCTCTGCTACCACCTCCAAGGCCTGGGCCTTCCTTTTAAACTCCTTTGTTTTTCTCTTTCCCAACAGCCTTCTGTCTGGTTCACTCAGTTGTTTCTCCAGTAATGCTTTTTTCCTAAAGGAACTGGGCCTGGATTTCCTGTGCCGTTACACCTGTCTCATCGTGAGCTTTTTCTCCTCCTGTAATGTGAGTTTCGCCTCTTCCTGTTTCTCCTTTAATAGTGATATCCCTCATTGCCAGCAACTGCTGCTTCAAAGTGGATTGAATCTTTTCCTTCTCCAAGAGCTGTTTTAAGCTCTCAAGTTTGCTCTGCATATTTGAAGGCTAACTCTTGTCTCCTTTGTTCAATCTCCCCACTTTTTTTTGTACATAGTTGTTTCACAGCTTCTGAAGTTGCCTTCTATACTCAGTTTTGTTGGTCAGTTATTCCAGCAAGAGTTTATTTTCAGCCTGGACATGTAACTTTTCATTGATTAGCTGCCTGTTTTCCTGCATTAGCAGTTTTGCTGGATTTGACCTTCTTTTATTTGCTTGTTCGGCTTCATCATTTCCATTGTCCATTTAAAAAAAATTGATTTCAGAGTGGGGGTAAGGGGAAGAGATCAACTAAAGGACTTGTATGCATGCATATAAGCCAAACCAATGGACACAGACAACAGGGGGATGAGAGCATGAGTGTGGTGAGGGGGAGGTTGGGGGTTAATGGAGGGATGAGGACACATTTGTAAAAAAAATTGATTTCAGAGAGGAAGGGAGAGGGAGAGATAGATAGAAACATTAATGATGAGAATGGGGCTCCAGTCGACAACCTGTGCCCATGACTGAAATCAAACCTGGGATTCTTCAGTCCGCAGGCCCACTATCCACTGAGCCAAACCAGCTAACCATTGTCCTTTTTAAAAGCCCCATCGCGGCCTTTTTTGGGGGTGGGGGGTGGGGGAGGCTTCCCTGGCTTCAAAAAATTATTAAACTAAGATACCACGTAGGGGTATTAGTACTGTTGGAGTCCTCAGTAAACCTGAAGGAAGAACAAGTGAAACATTCCCCTATCAATTCTTAATGAAAATTTAGGAAACAAAAAACGCACAATTATACTTTAATTCACAAAAGAAAATATTTTTGAGCACTTATGTCGAGGCACGGAGCATACAGGTAGGGGTGAAGGTGAAGGACTGCAGTTTACAATTTACAATATGCATTCACTACCACCCCTATGAGATATCTCAATTTTAAAAAGAAAGGTTTGGAGCATCTAAGTTAACTTAGCCACGATTTACACTGCTAGCAAGTGGCAGAGCCGGGGTCGGTGTGAAACCCACATTTATCTATGACTTGGTGAACAGGTGGCTACAAAGGGCCCAGAACAGACGCGGAGGTCAGGAGCAGGAATACATGTCTCAGCTCCTGCACCACCTTTTCTGTTTCCGAGGACGCTTCCGTGCAGGGAAACGCCCCTCAGTACCTACTTGCTCCGGGAATCCTAGCGTCCACCGAGAGGGACTAGAACTAGTGTCAGGGACGTCGACATGCGGGACGGCGTCCCCGTGAGCCAAGTGTCTCGGTTCAACGGGCCTCTGCACCGCCCAGCAACCCCTAGGTTCGCATCCCGCTCCAGTCCAGGCCGGTCCCCCACACCCACCCCCCTCGTGGCTTAACCCCCTCGCTCGGCTCAGCCCTAGCAGTCGGTTCTCCGGGCTCTAGTCCTGGCTCCTTTAGGGGCCGGAAGTGAAACGCCCTCTCTTTTTTGCATCGTGGGAGCTCTCCTCTGGGGATCTCATCTCGTCCGGTTCTCCTGCGAACCCAGGCCGTGCGACGGCAAGCTCTTCTTCCGGTTCGCTCGCTCCAGTCCTCCCAGCGCCTCCACTCCCCCGGCATGGCCCCCGGTTGGCTCCCGAGCCCGGTCGGGACCGGAGGATGCTCTTCTGAGCGGTCGGAGCCAGTACCATTCTCTCTCCCGGCCGCCGCGGCGGAAGTCTCTCTAGCCACGTGACGTCTCGATGGTCGAGTGGGCGGAGCCAGTACCATTCTCTCTCCCGGCCGCCGCGGCGGAAGTCTCTCTAGCCACGTGACGTCTCGATGGTCGAGTGGGCGGAGCCAGAAGGAAGATGGCGGCGCCCGCGGCTGCAGCCGAGCCTCAGGCGTCCGGGGGTCCTCGGCCCCCAGTGTGTCTGTTGGTGTTGGGGATGGCGGGGTCTGGGAAAACCACCTTCGTACAGGTGAGGTGCATGGCGCGGGCGAAGCAGGTGTGCGCGAGAGGCGGTGGAAGGCCGGGAAACGGGAGGGGAGGGCTTCCCGAGGAGCGGGAGGGCCGGCGCGTGGCTTCCGGGGGTCCTCGGCTAGACCGCAAGGCTCCTGGAGTGCATACCTGGTGCCGCTTACCACGTGGTGCTGCGGTTGTCCTGCCGGCAAAATTGCTGACTTGAAGGCAGAGGCTGACTTACAAGTAACGCGATTCATAGAGTGCAGAGTGCTACCACACAGGCTTGCGGTATAGATGGCTAAAGAATTAGGTGTTTCTTGTGTGAACAGAAAAGGGGTGCCGTAAATAAGTGTAATAACTGCAACCCCACCTCTCCTCTGACAGTTGTCAGTCTGTTCTCTATCTATGAGCCTGTTTCTTTTTTTTTTTAATTAAATCTTTATTGTTCAGATTATTACATTTGTTCCTCTTTTCCCCCCCCCATAACTCCCCTCCTTCCAGCTCCCACCCCACCCTCCGCCCTCACTCCCCACCCACTGTCCTCATCCATAGGTGCACGATTTTTGTCCAGTCTCTTCCCGCATCTCCCCCCCCCCTTTCCCTCCCAAGAATAGACAGTCCATTCCCTTTCTATGTCCCTGATTCTATTATAATCACCAGTTCATTCTGTACATCAGATTATTTATTCACTTGATTCTTAGATTCACTTGTTGATAGATGCATATTTGTTGTCCATAATTTGTATCTTTACCTTTTTCTTCTTCTTCCTCTTCTGAAAGGATACCTTTCAGCATTTCATATAATACTGATTTGGTGGTGATGAACTCCTTTAGCTTTTCCTTATCTGTGAAGCTCTTTATCTGACCTTCAAATCTGAATGATAGCTTTGCTGGATAAAGTAATCTTGGTTGTAAGTTCTTGGCATTCATCACTTTGAATATTTCTTGCCACTCCCTTCTGGCCTGCAAAGTTTCTGTTGAGAAATCAGCTGACAGTCGTATGGGTATTCCCTTGTAGGGAACTGAGTTTCTTTCTCTTGCTGCTTTTAAGATTCTCTCTTTGTCTTTTGCTCTTGGCATTTTAATTATGATGTGTCTTGGTGTGGACCTCTTTGGATTCCTTTTGTTTGGGGTTCTCTGCGCTTCCTGGACTTGTAAGTCTATTTCTTTCACCAGGTGGGGGAAGTTTTTTGTCATTATTTCTTCAAATAGGTTTTCAATATCTTGCTGTCTCTCATCTTCTGACTCCCCTATAATTCTGATGTTGGTACGTTTGAAGCTGTCCCAGAGGCTCCTTACACTATCTTCGTATTTTTGGGTTCTTTTTTCATTTTGCTTTTCCGGTTGGGTGTTTCTCACTTCTTCGCATTTTGAATCTTTGACTTGATTCTTGCGCTCCTCTGGTCTGCTGTTGGGAGTCTGTATAATATTCTTTATTTCAGTCAGTGTATGCTTACTTTCTAGATGATCCTTTATCTCTCCAGCGAGGGTCTCATTAGATTTCCTGTACATCTCATCAAGTTTATCGACAGACTCTAGAAGCCTCTTGAGAGACCTCAAAAGTGTGGTTCTGAACTCAATATCCTCCCTTGATAGTCTTGTCCTGTTTCTTTGTCTCCGCATTTTTTACGCTCTCTTGGTACACCCCCTAGTGGTCTTTGTGTGCAGTCTTGTTGTAGTTAAGCCTTGATTGTTGTAGTTAATACTAGAGGGATTTGACCTCCAGGCCGACTGGCTGTGTTAATCAGCTGTGTCTGCAGTGGAAGAACTTGTGTCCTCTAGGGAGGTGCTAATCTAGCCTTTGCCTGAGGCTATCTGGCAAATGCCTCGGTGCAGGGCTTGGGCGGGGCGGGGCCCAGGGATCAACAGGGCGGAGGAGGGAGCAGTTATGGCTGCTCTCAGTCCGTCCCCAGGGGCTCTGCCTCTCTGTCCTAGCAACCGCTGCAAACCTCGGAGGGACCGTAGCCAGACAGTCCTGCTTCTCCCGTTTGAGTCTGGGTCCCTAGAGACTCGCCCCGGTCTGGGGCTCAGAGTCTGAGGCTCCCTCCGGATTGAAACAGACAACCTCGCCCTCAGCCACCAGCCCGCGCCGCACGCACTCCGCACCTTAGTATTTTACTTCAGCACTGCGCCTCCTCTGATTCTCGGTTCCTCCTAGTTGTAGAACTTCCACTCAGCCAGCCTTCCTGTGGTTCTGGATGATGTCCGTTCCGTCTTTTAGTTGTATTTTTGAAGTGGTTGTTCGAGGCAGCAAACTCCGGCGTTAACCTATGCCACCATCTTGGTTTTTTTTCTCCTATGAGCCTGTTTCTATTTCTAACCTCACAGGGTGATTGGATCATAAATTAGTTTTTAATTGAATTTGTTGGGGTGCAATTGGTTAATAAAATTACATAGGTTTCAGGTGTCCAGTCTGTAGTACATCATCTGTGTATTGTATCGTGTTCTCCACCCCGTCAGGTCTCCTTCCTTCTCCATTTATCCCCCCTTTACCCTCTTCTACCAACCCGTGCCCTTCTTCCCCTCTGGCAATCGCCGTGCTGTTGTCTGTGCCTGTGAGTTTTGTTCTTTGTTTAACCTCTTCACCTTTATCACCCAGCACTGCAGCCCTACCTCTCCTCTGACAGTTGTCAGTCTGTTCTCTATCTATGAGCCTGTTTCTTTTTTTTTTTTTTTAATATATTTAAAAAAAA